TTTTTTTTTTTTTTTTGGTCCTGGGGCTTGAACTTTGGGTCTGGACACAGTCCCTCAGCTCTTCAGCTCAAAGCTAGCACTCTAGCACTTGAGCCACAGCACCACTTCCAGTTTTCTGGTGGTTAATTAGAGATAAGAGTCTCATGGACTTTCCTGCACGGGATGGCTTTGAACTGTGATCCTCAGATCTCTGCCTCTTGAATAGCTAAGATTACACGTGTGAGCGACCAGCACCTGGCATTTTCTTCTCTCTCTCTCTCTTTCTCTCCTTGTTTGTTTGTTTCTTTCTTTCTTTGGTTGGTCGTGGGGCTTGAACTCTGGGCCTGGGTGTTGTCCCTGAGCTTTTCTGTGCTCAATGCTAGTGCTTCACTACTTGAGCCACAGAGCTATTTCCTACTCCCCCCGCTTTTTTTCTGTTTATGTGGTACTGAGGAATTGAACCAATGAATTCATTCATACAAGGCAAGCACCCTACCACTAAGCCACATTCCAGCCCCAAGAGTACCTTTCTTTTTGGACAATGTTACCCTTTCCTTTGCTCTCTCTTACTTTTACCCTCCCATCCCCACCCACAAGTTGTATAGTTCCTTTTTAACATAGTGTCCAGTGAGTAAGACTGCTGCATTTGTTGACGGATCCCACTATTTCTGTGGGATCTCAGTCTCTTGATTAGCTAGGATTAAAAAGTGTGAGTCACCAGAGCCTGGTTTTAAAAACGATTTAAGAGGAGGATTTGATTGAATTGAGAACTAACTTGAATTGGAATGCAAGATATAAGCAATTATGAGCCATATGAAGTAGAGAGAATGCTAAAGAACATAGAATGGCAGACACAGGAGGACTAGCCCCACAAAGCTGAGGGTTACCGTAACCTGCCTTTGGGCATCACTTTGCCCTCTCAGCCATCAAATGGTTGGGACAGTTTCTGGGGTCATCACACCCTCCATCTAAACCCAACAGCCTAAATAGTAAATCTGTGCAGTTCTCCCTGTTCTGAAGAGTCCAAGATCCCGCCAGGGGTTGTCCTGACCCAAGGTGGGGTGGGCCGGGCTGAATTTGTCTACATATTGGACTTGGCCAGGACCTTGTTGGGGCTGGAAAATCAGGAAAGCTCTCATCCCCAAGGTCACTGCCCATGACCTTTGGTTGTCTAGGAAGGAGTCAGCTCCTCAGAGCCCTGAGCAGGAAAGCCAGGGCTGTTACACACAAGTCCTAGCTTGGGTCTTCCCAGAACTCATTTCTGCCATATTCAAGTGGTCACAGCCAATTCAGGCTGAAGCCAGGGACCCAAGCTGTGTGTGTGTGTGTGTGTGTGTGTGTGAGAGAGAGAGAGAGAGAGAGAGAGAGACAGACAGACAGACAGACAGACAGGCAGACAGACCTGGATCTTGAACTCATGGCATGGGTACTGTCCCTGAGTTTTTTTGCTCATGGTGATCACTCTGTCACATGAACATAGCTCCATTTTTGGCTTTTTGTTGGTTAATTTGGAGATGAGTTTCATGAATGTTCCTGCCCAGGCTGGCTTTAAACTGTGATCAGCCTAATGAATAGCTAGGATTACAGGCATGAGCCACTGGTGCCTGGCAAGAATATTTGAAAAAAATTTTATACTTTTTTATTATTAAAATACTGTACAAAGGGGTTACAGTTACATGAGTAAGGTAATGAGTACATTTAAAAAAAATCTAGCATTGTTGCCTCCTCCTTTGTTTTTCCCCTACCATCCCCACCTCCCTGACTTTCCCCCCCTCCCAAAGTTGTAAAGTTAGTTTTCAATATAGAGTCTTGTACATCTCATTGTTACAACTGGTCAACCTGTATCCCTATTTAAGCATTTTGTTATTTCCTTTCCCCTCCCCAAATTAGAAAAATGTATATATAAGAGCAGGGCACCAGAATCAAATACAGTGAAAACAGAGGTCATATCAAAGAAACAAAAAATCACATAGTACATTATAAATACATTAAAAACAATAGCAAGAAAGAAAAAAAATTTGTGTCCCTATCTTGGGGTTCATTTTGCTTAACATCATCTTATATGGTCGTAAGTACTTAGCTTTTGACCTTTTCTGCTTGTCTTAGACTTATACTAGTATTGCAAATAGGGGAAACCATGGGACCTATGTTTCTTTGGGCTGAAAAAATTATTTCATATATGTTTATAATTTAGATCTAACTTTCACATATGAGAAAAAATGTTCCATTTTTCTAAGCTTGAATTACTCAATTAACAATTTTTTCTAGGTTTATCTACTTAACTGCAAATGACATATTATTCTGACAGATTGGTAAAATTCTTATCTATCTATCTACTTACCTACCTATCTATACCACATATTCTTTTTCTTCTTTTTTCTTTTTTGGTGCTGGTCCTGGGGCTTGAACTCAGGGCCTGGGCACTATCCCTGAGCTTCTTTAGTTCAAGGCTACTGCTCTGCATAGTTGAGCTACAGTTCCACTTCTGGCTTTTAAATTTTTTTTACTGTTTGCTGTTTTAAAATGGTTTCTTTAAAAATTTTTAAAATTGTTATTGTGAAGGTGACGCACAGAGGGGTGACAATTACATAAATCAGGTAAAGAGTACATTTTTTTGGGGGGTCAGTCGTGGGGCTTGAACTCTGGGTCTGGGCACTGTCCCTCAGTTCTTCAGCTCAAGGCTAGCGCTCTACCACTTGAGCCACAGTGCCACTTCTGGGTTTCTGGTGATTTATTGGAGATAAGAGTCTCACAGACTTTCCTGCCCAGGCTGGCTTTGAACCGTGATCCTCAGATCTCAGCCTCATGAGTAGCTAGGATTATAGTTGTGAGCCACGGCACCCGGCAAAATCATTTATTTCTTCTGTTCTCATCTTTCCTGGGCACTGTCCCTGAGCTCTTCAGCTCAAGGCTAGTGCTCTACTACTTGAGCCACAGTGCCACTTCCATTTTTCTGATGGTTAATTGGATATTAGAGTCTCATGGACTTTTCTGCCTGGGCTGGCTTTGAACTGCGATCCTCAGATCTCAGTGTCCTTAGTAGCTAGGATTACAGGTGTCAGCCACTGGCATCTGGCCTTTTATTTTTCAGTTATCATTTTTAATTTTAAGTAGTTGTACAAAGGTGTAACTCACTGAAAATCCTGAAACAAGCTGGTTCATGTCTGTAATACTACCTACTCAAGAGCTTGAGATATAAGGATTGTGGCTCAAAGCCAGCCTAGGCAGACAAATCTGAGAGACTCTTATCTCCAATTAACCAGAAAGGAGCTGGAAGTGTGGCTCAAGAAGTAGAGAGCTAGAGGAAGAGGTCTCAAGTTCAAGCCTCATCACCGGCACCAATTCCCCGCCCCTTCCCCCCAACAAACAAGAAACAATAACAAAAACTAAGCCAGGAGCAGTCAGCTTGGCTCATGGGGAGGTGGCAGTAAGTGCTCAGACCTGTGAGGCTTGTCCAGTGGGGGCCCATTTCCCCAGGTCACTTTACTTCCCAGCCCTCAGGCCAGCATGGGCTGGGGGTAGAAAGTGAGTCCTGGAAGGCACAGGGATCCCTTTCCTGGGTCTCAGGAATGGTCCCAACACTGACAATCTGGATGACATGTCCAAGTGCCCCCGGGGCTGTTAGGGGCTGTGGTGACAGGTGGCTTGTCCTTGTCTGTTCTGGAGAAGTGACTTGTGGGTGGAGAAGATTCACCTTCTCCCTCTGGCCACTGACACTGTGAGAGGTCCTTGTGGGGATCCCTCTGTCCTGCTTCCTCCTAGTGTGCACCCCTTTTTGTGCTGGTACTGGGGCTTGAACTCAGGGCCCTTCCCTCTTGCTTCACTTTTATAACTTGAGCCACAGCTCCATTTCCAGCTTTTGGTCCCAATACACGATCCTCAAATCTCAGCCTCCTGAGTAGCTAGGATTATAGGTGTGAGGCACCCGTGCCTGATTGGGGGTGGCCTTTTGAGTGTGCACACCCGCCACACACCCATCCCTTCCTTCTCACACACACTCACATGAAGCACACAATCTCAGGCTCCCAAGATGGCACATCCAGGCCCACCCCCAGCTTCCAAATCCGTCTCTTCTCCAAGACTCCTCCCTACTAGGGGTCCTACCCCAACCGGAGGCCGGCCTTCTTCTTGCCAGACCTCACCCTAGGCACCCCCAAGTCAAAGTTCCCAGTCTACCCTTGGCCTGCCCCTTAGTCTGAGGACCCCAGTCTTTTTCCAGCCCTCCAGCAGTGCTCTCCCCCACCTCTCTGTCAGTCCCCCAGCCTGAACTGCAGCCTCCCCTAAAACTTTCTTCAGCAAGAACTTTTTAAATGTTTTTTTTTCTTTTCCTTTTTATTGTGAAAATACTGTACAGAGGGGCTACAATTACATGGGCAAGGTAATGAGTACATTTCTTATCAAGCATTGTAGCCTCCTCCTTGGTTTCCCCTTCCCATCCCTTCCCATCTTCCCCCCTCCCCCCGGGAATTTTTAAATTGTTACAAGGGTTATAGTTACATAAGTCAGGTAAGGAGCACATTTCTCTTTTGACAATGTCCCCCCTTCTCTTCCTCTCTCCCACTTTTTCGCTTGGGTCCCCATCCACAGTTGTATAGTTGATTATCCACATGTGTCTAATAAGTACCACTGTTGCATTTCCCACTCTTATCTCCTGCCAGATTGCAGTCCAGACCCCGGCGCTCTCCACACCGGTTCACCCCGCATCGCCTGTTCAAGGGTTGGTGGCTGCAGGCTCCAGGATTGATCATTTTAGGGTCCGGAGCGAGGGTTGCTCCGCCGGGGGCGTGGCAAGAAAAGGCCCCGCCCACAACGCACACGCCCACTCGAGGCCCCGCCCCACGCCCGCCCAGGCCCCGCCCCGCGCTCGGGCTCCTCTGCGGCGCTGCGGGTCCTACCAGCCCTGCACAGCGAAGCTGGCCATGGAGGCTCGAGCGCGGCCGCCGCATCTTCTGCCGCTGCTGCTGCTGCTCTGCGGTAAGGGGGCGTCGGGCACCGGGGCGTCCTCCCTGGGCTCACAGGACCCTCTCGGATCCTCACCGCCCCGCGCCGTGCCTGGGCTTCCCTGGAGCTCGCTGGTAGGATGCGCGGTGGTTGGGTGCAGAGCGCAGGGTCGGCTGGAGAGTCTTCTCTCGCCCGGCCTGGCTGGCTGGTGCGGATCGGGGCGAAGGACCTGGGCGGCAGTGGGCGGGGGAGGTGCAGGATCTCCTGCAGGGCTACACCCGGGGGGCTGAGGTCTGGCCCTTTCCGTGGGGAAGGGTCTGGAGAGAGCCCTCACCATCTGGGCCTTGAGTACGTGCAGATGGCAAGGAGGGGTGGGTGGGTTGACTGCAGACTCAGTAGAACAGATCTTTCTGAGCCCTCCTCCCCTATCCCTTCCCAGTGAGAAAGCAGGATTCAGAATGAAGCACTGCTCACAAAATGGGCAATGGATTCAATGAAAAGCATGATTAAAAAATCTTAGCTAAAAGGGAGCTTGATGCTGGTGGCTCACACCTGTAACCCTAGCTACTCAGGAGGCTGAGACCTGAGGATCACTGTTCCAAGCCAGTCCCAATACAAAGTCTGCGAGACTCCTATTTCCAATGAATCACTAAAAAGCCAAAAGTGACGCAGTGGTTCAAGAGGTAGAACACAGCTTTGAGCAAAATAAGCTACGGGACAGTGCCTAGGTCCTGAGATCAAGCCCTGGTGAACTCAGTACACAAAAATCTCTACTAAGGGAATTATCTGAGAACAAGTAAGAGGTACTTGCACGGGGAACATGAGTGCATGGTCATGTTCGAGCTCCTGCATGGCTGTGTCAAGGTGTTGGGGAGGGAGGAGTGCTTGCCCAGGGCTGGAAGCTTCTAGGCAAGTCCTGTGCCTGGTCCAGAGTCAGAGACTCAGAATCTACACTCCAGGGGGGCAGTTTTCTGTGTTCTTTTAGGCTATTTTTTTCTTCTCTTGATTGGAAAACGAAGAATTGGGCTTGTTTGCATGATCAAGGACCATCCAAAGATTCGATAAGGGAAGTGAGAAATCCATGAACTAGATTCATTGTTGATTTTCATTCTTTTAAAGAGGTCTGGTCTTGATGTGCAGAGTGGACCTTTTTCTCATGTTCTGATGTTAGAGGCTAGGCTGTTGGGTGGATCTTTATTTCTTTTCTTTTTGGATCAGTCATGGGGCCTGAACTCTGGCCTGGGCGCTATCCCTCAGCTCTTCAGCTCAAGGCTAGCGCTCTACCACTGGAGCCACAGTACCACTTCCGGCTTTTTTTCTTTTTGCTTATGTGGTGCTGCGGAATCCAACCCAGGGCCTCATGCATGCAAGGCAAGCACTCTACCACTGAGCCACCTTCCCAGCCCTGGATCTTTCTTTCTTCTTCTTTTTCTCTTCTTCTTCTTCTTCTTCTTCTTCTTTTTTTTTTTTTTAGTGCTGGTACTGGGTCCTGAACTCAGGGCTTGGGCACTGTCCCTTAGCTTTTTAGCTCATGGCTAGCACTCTACCATTTGAGCAACAGCTCTACTTCCAGCTTTTGGTTGGTTAATTGGAGATAAGTGACTTTCAGATTTATCTTTCTGGTCTGGCTTTGAATCAGGATCCTCGGATCTCAGCCTCCTGAGTAACTAGGACTACAGTCATGAGCTGTTAGAGCCTGGCTTAGTGGATTTTTGTGCTAAAGAGCTAAGTTGCATGGTGGCTTCCAGAAATCAGTATAATGACTTAGGATTTCTGCAAGCCCCTCTGATGGGGATTTTGGTCTCTTGAAGAAAAGTTCTAAATTCATTTCACAGGAAGCTGAAGTTCTTTTTCAGTCTTCACCATGGAATGGAGAAGAACTACAGGCAGAAGCTGCACAAAATTCTCCTCATTAACATCCCTGAGTTTTCCTGGATCTCCATGGGTCCACCTTCTTGTCCTGTTTTGGGGGTCCTCATTGCCTCTCCCCCCCTCATTAATTTCCCCTCCACCCTGGGCCAGGCTTCCTAGTGAGTGTGGGGATTCATTTAGATTTATACAGACTGGTGTTAGTGTCTGGCCACAGCAAGAATCAGAGAAAAGGAAATGATGTTTATGGCCACATGAAATTCATCAGAGGTAGGATCTCAGTCTACCTCTGGAAGGAAGGAGCAGAGCTTCCCAACTCCTAGGAATGGTGATCATCTATGCTGTGGACAGCTCCACTGTCCGCAGCTGCCCTTAGGCTGTCTGGAGGCTTCACAGAGTGGCATGGCCACTCAGGGAGTAGAGCCAGCAGAGGCAGCCCTGACTAGGTGTCAAGAACAATTTGTAAATATGAAGGGTGCTGTTCTCTGAACATTCTAAAGCATTATTCAGAAAGCATTTGGCTCTGCTCAGGGCCTTGAGTGGGAAGGGGAGTCTAATGGTGCCCACTGGACAGTAAGCTGCTGTGGTTCCCGGCCTGTGCTTGGACCCTCCTTGTTATGATGAGAATTGTGCAGCATAGACTTAGAATCATAAGTCACTTATTGGTTCTTAACCTCAGTTTCCCCCAAAATCCCACAGATGCAGTTATAGCAACCTACAGAGAGCCGCTGTGAAGGCCTGTTGGATTAGATTCGGTTCATCCTCTTAAGTGAAATAAGCTAGACTTAGACAAAGGTCACATGTTTTCTCTCCTATGTAAATGTTAGACCTAAAATATAAATATATGTATGCACATATGCATATACAGGATCATATGTGTGTGAGGATATGTGTGTATATACTGACTAAAGTATGGTGTCTGCGCATTTGAGACACCATGATGAAACCTCTTTGAACAATTAACAGGTACTTTAACCAAAAAGAGTAGTCAGAAGCTAGGAGCTGGTGGCTCACTCCTGTCATCCTAACTACTCAGGAGGCTAAGATCTGAGGATTATGGTTCAAAGCCGGCCTAGGCAGAAAAATCTGTGAAACTTATCTACAATTAACCAGCAAAAAGTCAGAAGTGGGTGTGTGGCTCAAGTGGTAGAACACAAACCTTGAGCAAAAAAGCCAAGTGAGAGGGCAGGGCCCTGAATTCAAGCCTCAGTACCAGACACACACACACACACACACACACACACACACACACACACGGATATTAGTGGGCTGTGGACATTAGTGGAAAGGGATAGACAAAAGCGGAGGAGGAAGGAGGGCAAATAGAGACAAAATACTTGATATAGGTGTGAAAGTGGAACAAAGCAACCTGTTGAGACTGGCGTGGGGAGGAGATTAGGGAGGCTCATACTTGAGCCAGAGGATTGGCTGGCACCTGTGCCTTGTGAGTCCCTAACAGTGGCTAAAGACTGAGGTGCCCTAGCTTATGTGTGTGTTCTGTGTATGAATAAGGTTCCACCATTTTTATCATGAGTGAAAGCAATGTAGACCTGCCACAGTATTACCTGGTGTCTCTTGATTCTGCTGCGGCAAGACGACCCAAGATCAGAGTCCCCAAATCTCCTTAGGCACAAAAAGTCTTGAAGTAGATGGTTTGTCAAGCACAAGCCATAAATGTTAGCACTGGAGGTCATCTGATCCACTCTTTCTTTTCTTTTTTTGTCGGTCACGGGTCTTGAACTCTGGGCCTGGGCGCTGTCCCTCAGCTCTTCAGCTCAAGGCTAGCGCTCTATCACTTGAGCCACAGCGCCACTTCCGGCTTTTTCTGCTTATGTGGTGCTGAGGAATCGAACCAGGGCCTCATGCATGCAAGGCAAGCACTCTACCACTGAGCCACCTTCCCAGCCCCACCCACTCATTTTTTCATTCTTTTATTTTGGCTGATCCTGGAGATGGAACTTAGGACCTGGGTGCTCGCTGAGCCTCTTTGTACTAAAGGCTAATGCTTTACCACTACAGCCACAGTGCCACTTCTAGCTTTTTCTGAGTAATTTATTGGAGATTAGAGTCTTACGGATTTTCCTGCCCGGCTGGCTTCAAACTGTGATCCTGAACTCTCAGCCTCCTGTGTAGCTAAGATTACAGGTGTGAGCCACCGGTGCCCAGCTTGACCTACTCTTTCTTTTACAGATAAAGAAATTGAGGTGTGTGTGGGGGTGGGTGGGGAGTGTAGTGGGGGAATTGTCAAGACCACAGGGACTGGGGAGAGAACTGTCCAGAAACCACATCCCCTTGAGAGCGTGGCCTTCGGTGCTGTGGTCTGGTTGTGTTCCCCAGGGAAGGATGGGAGCACTGGATTTCATTCCCAAATGTCTGGTGAAAAGGTCTTTTTCTGAGAAATTCATCTGTTTGACTGTTTATCATTTCTCAGCAGCTGGAAGTCCTGGGACCAAAGATGTATGGGCCTGCATGTTTCTTGGCTCCCTGATGGAACTAACCAAAATGGATTTCTGTTCCAGTTCCTGACTATTTTGTTAATGTAGCCATTGCCTTGAGCGGCAGTGACACACTTTTCACAGTATACCAGGCATATGTGTCACCCCCCCCCCCATTGCTATTACACTGGGTGGGTTGTGGGATTTGCTGAGAGTTTCTTAAGCTTTCTGTACACTGAAAATACTGTCAGACCCAACTTCCTCCAATTTTTTTTTTTTTGGGTCCGGTTGTGGGGCCTGAACTCTGGGCCTGGGCGCTGTTCCTCAGCTCTTCAGCTCAAGGCTAGCGCTCTACCACTTGAGCCACAGTGCCACTTCCGGCTTTTTTTCTTTTTGCTTATATGGTGCTGAGGAATCGAACCCAGGGCCTCAGGCTTGCAAGGCAAGCGCTCTACCACTGAGCCACCTTCCCAGCCCAAGACCCAACTTCCTGTGGGGGAACATTTCAGGTCCTATAGTGCCAGCTTAGTGCATCTAATGATTCGAAGCCAGCCTGGACAAAAATGTCCATGAAACTACTCTTATCTCCAATTAATCAGCAAAAAGTTGGAAGTAGAGGTATGGTTCAACTGGTAAAGCACCAGCCCTTTGTGAAAAAGCCAAGAGAGAGCTCACGGTCCTGAGTTCAAATCCTAGTACCAGCACATACATAAAAGAGTGCCCAGAGATTCTAGGGCAGGTAAAGATTCTGGCCTACACAGAGCTTTTGGGTTATGGAGAGGTTCTGGGACAGGTGTGGAGATTTCAGGGTATCTGAAGATTGCAGGAATGTAGAGATAATAGGGTTTGGGGAGGTTCTGGGGCACATGGGAAATTGGGTGCAGAGATTCAGGGCAGAGCTGAGAAACAGGCATATGTTCTTAGATAGCTAGGTGCATTTGGCTGAGGTTTGGGGTGCTGCTGAGAGGGCCTGGGCAATGCAAATTCTGCCCAGAGCTTTCTGGCTCAGGTTAGAGGGAAGTCAGCACTGTTGTTCATTAGTTTCCCTGGAAGTAAGGGGAGGCCAAAGGTTCAGAGACAGTGATAGTCACCCATGGGTAAGTGGTATTTGTGGCAATGTGTCCCAGAGTGGTCTTTCAGAGCATCATGGTTACTGTGAAATGTACCAGACCTGGCCCTGTGTCTGGGAGATGGGCTGCCAGAAATAGCCATGATCTGTTCTGGCTGTACACATGCATTCTGGATTCCCTAGGCATCCTGATTTCCAGAATGAAGAGCAGGAACCTTTCCTGCCCCTGACAGGGAGGGGGAGGATACGGAGGGATAGGGGAAGGAGAACCAGGAGGAGAA